TATATATAAATACAAATCTATATAACATTCTATGTAATATACATCTACATCTATATTATACAAAAGTATTACATACTAATAATATATTTTAATAATAATATTATATTTTATTAATAATAATAATAATTTTTATTCATTAAATATGTTACATTTTATATTGTTATATTTTTTGAAAGTGCTTTTCATTAACTGTATATACATATATAAATTTATATTTATAAATGTAATACCTTTTTATTTCTTTTTATAAGGTTAAAATAATTAAAGGTTTCAAGAGTAGTAAACAGTTATCAATATTTTATACTGTATATTTTAATGTTTTGATGCCACATTTCTGTGGAAGTGATTTACCTTTGTGTTAATGGTAGTACCTATAATTTTGGCCATACATAATATCAATCATAATACGTTTTGTTTTGGGGGTTTTTATATACAGCAACATTAACAATGCATATTGTTCCTAAGCTGCTTTACAAGGAATATTAGTAGTGAGCAACATAACAGTGATGGTAGAAAAGGAAAAATCCTTTGTTGTTTAAGTAGAAGAAGCTGGCACATGTATAAACCAATTTATACAAAACAGTCATTATCAGCATAGGGAAACATTTATATATCACTGCACCACTACGTTAAAACTAAAGGTGTTTGATTGTGAACTGCTGTTGTATATGGGACTGGGCCATCAAGGTCACTGTGCATGAGTGAACAATGGCAAAGCAATTAGCTAACGATGCTCGTTAATGAGGCTCAACAACCCCACACCGTGACCAAGATGGAACAAAGGTGAGTGTGTGTGTGTGTGTGTGTGTGTGCTGACACGATGCAAAATCTCAGGAGAGGCTTTGGCTTCAGCCATGTAGCTACATCGGAAATGCAATCCAGTTTGTTTCCCTCAATCCGATTAGTTGCTTTGGCGATCCATACTAATTACGGACAGGGAATTCTCTCTCTCTCTCTTTCCGTCCATCCCGCAGCTAGCACCTCGTCATGCCGTCAGCATTTGAGAGCTAATCTCCAGAATCTACCGCTAAACCGTCACACACACTCGTACACGTCAATGACGCACTCAAGGCCTCCAGCGGGACTCTCATCCAAAACATTTCAAGTGTCCTTGTGCCAGTTCTCCACGATGCACAACGCAGGACTGTCTCTAGCATGCAATTAGCTCACGATGCTCGTTAAGGAGGCTCAACAACCCCACACCGTGACCAAGATGGAACAAAGGTGAGTGTGTGTGTGTGTGTGTGTGTGTGCTGACACGATGCAAAATCTCAGGAGAGGCTTTGGCTTCAGCCATGTAGCTACATCGGAAATGCAATCCAGTTTGTTTCCCTCAATCCGAT